CTTTAAGCCTTTTCTTGCACTAAATAAGACTAGCTAATAACTGTAAAGTACAGTTTCTGAAGTTAAACCAATATTTATAATTATTTGTGTTTATATTGGTAATGAGCCCTGGGTGGTGCTGTGGATAAGCATTGGACTGGTAACTGCAAGGTTAGCAGTTCAAACTCACCAACTGCTCTTTGCAAACCCTATACAGGGTCACTACGAATCAGGATCAACTCGATGGCACTTAACAACAGCAGCAATAATAACTGGATGCACCTGTTCTCACTTACCTACAAATTCTACTTAAAGACAAGACACACTTAGAAACAGATCTAATTAGTAGCCCAGGGACTGCATGTTTTTATAGAAATGTTTGTGCACAGACCCACTGTCGCTGTATATTCTTTGAGTTATCTTTCTAAAACTAGTGATGGGTTTTTGTTGTTTTGACGTTAGCATAAATTTGCAAGATAATATTAGAGTTTGAAATGCAATCAAAGACCATAAATTGGAAGAAATATCTTGTCCCCATTATCATGATGGAAACTGACTGAAGCTTTTACTTTACAAATACTTGAATGCCTACTATGTAAATATATGCCACAAATTCTGTTTATTATTAGGGGAACAATGTTGAATAAGTTAAACATTATGTCCTTCCAATGAGTGTTAAATAAATAGTTGAAAATAGAAAGGAAATAACCTTTATTACTAAATGAAGCAAATGAAATGTTGATTCTTCATACTTGTTCTTAATGTTGTTGGAGCCTGGTAAATGTGTAAAACACATTTTTAAAAACAATATTGAATAATGTCTCAAGAAAAGTGGTTAAGTTTTGTAGTTGGTATTTTTGGCGTTTTTTGGTCTAAAATGTGTACTTGTTTCACATCTGTATCATACATAGAAAACTTGAAGAATTTTTTTGTAAGCGAAGTAGTAATGTGAGATGGGAAAAAGGACAGTAATTAGAAACTTGTGTTCCATTCCCAATTGCTTTATTTTAACTGTAAGCAAATTTATGTCTAATTTCAGCATATCTTATTTTACTCCCTACATCTCTTCGTTAGGCTCTATGTAAGGACAATATCTACCCAGCTTTCCAGATGTTTGCTCAAGGTTATGGGAAGAACAATGAACCTCTTCGTGGCTACATCTTAACATTCTTAATTGCACTTGGATTCATCCTAATTGGTTAGTCATATAAATGTCGTACAAATGTAGATTTTGTTACATTTTTAGTGTTAACTCTAAGCATTAAATTAAATTATAAGCAAAATATTACTTTGCCTAGAATATGGTTAGTTTCTTATCAGTATGTTTGCTAAAATTATTGCCATCACTACGACACTATTAGGACTGGGGTGTGACCCTAAGAAATGTGCTAATAACATAAAGAAAAGAAGGATCCCAATCTACTTCATAGAGATGGAGCCTCTGCACTTTTTGTTGGCACTTCTGCCTCTGATCTCCAGCAATTGATCCTTCAACGGCTAAAAATGACATTAGATATTTAAATTATAAAGAAATTCATCTAACCCTTCAGAATAGTACATATTAAAAGTCTGATTATACCACCAAGTGTTGTAGTGTAGTAACAAACTTATATGTAATGCTGGTAGGTATACATCTGGTGTATCTACTTTCAAGAAGAACCTGGTGGTATCTATTGGTGTTGCATGATCTAGCAGTTCTGTTTTTGTGTATATAGGATGTTATTCATGTAACTGTGTAATTAAACACTAAGAACAGTACCATTTAATATTTATTGATGTATATACATGTGAGGAGTCCTGGTTGGCACTGTGGACTAATGCGCTGGACTGCAAAGTTGTTTGAACCACAAGCTCACCAGCCACTCCTTGGAAACAGTACACAGGGTTGCTATGGGTTGGAACCAATTCAACGACACTTAACAACAACAACATATGTGTGAAGTAAATCTGTGTGTTATGACTAGAAACAATAGAACAAATTTAAAATAGTGAAATATAAAGGAGGTTTCAAATGTGTGTGAGGGTTGCTTTTTGAAAAGTAGTGTATGTGAAACATATATGGCAAAATGTAAATATTTATAAAATCTAGATGGTAAGTATAATGATCATCATTTATGTTATCTAGGTTTGAAATATTTAAAAATTTTTAAAGGTTTAAAAATGTCTTATATGTCATTTAATTGACCTTATGTTTTTGGTTTTTTTTGCAGCTGAACTGAATGTTATTGCTCCAATTATCTCTAACTTCTTCCTAGCTTCATATGCATTGATCAATTTTTCAGTATTCCATGCATCTCTAGCAAAATCTCCAGGTGATTCATAAATATTAATCTTTTTTAATTAAGAGAAAAACACCTTAACAAAATTTAAAATTTGTTACTGTGGGAGTAGCTAATTAATGCTTAATCTGACTTTTTATAGCTCAAATTGTAAGTCTTCAAAGATCTCTATCATGAAGTTTACTGATAATTTTCTTTTTGTCTTAGAAGTACTTTAGATAGCATTAGCATCTAATTCTGAAATTTTGTAATCTTTTAATGTTCAATTTTCTTGTTTTCCCTTGTATTATGTAAGTGATTTTCATTTATTTGAATTCTAAGAACATTAATATAATATACAGGCAGTCCCTGAGTTATAAAAACCTGACTTATGTACAGCTTGTAGTTAGGAACTGACCCCTGTAAGCCCTATTATAGTAAAAATTCAAGGTATATACAATGATTTGTAATAATGTGTTACTTTGCACTGCACATGAAAACATAATTTTGATTATTAGTATATTATTATGTTATAGCTGTTTTATTGTATCTGGTAGTGTTTTTGTTTTTTTAATGTTTTTATGAATATAAAGGCACATTTTATGCTAATACTAAGACAGACATTTGAATAGCTAGTGATAGATATGAACCACACCTGTCTTGACATACTTAAAAATTCAACTTAAAGATAGATTTAAGATTGGAAATCATTCGTAAATGTTTTCAGAAGAAGCCAAGGTGCCACAGGGTCCAAGTGCTACACTTCCAACCAAAAGCTCTGTGGTTCAAACCCACCAGCTGCTCCACAGAGAAAGATGAGACAGTTTGTTTCTGTGAAGATTGCACTCTTGGAATCCCTGTGGACATTCTAGTCTGCTGATGACTTGAGTTGGAGTAGACTTGATAGTAGTAGTGGGTGGATTTAGTTTAATCTTTCCTGAAGTGTTTTAATGCAATGAGTTCTATGGAATTGTAATATAAGGAGTCTTTATCAACTGAAAACATTAGATATGGCTTTTTAAATAAACTATGACAACAGGTGGAAATCAGGAACAATGATACAGTAACAAAAGCACCATGAAAGCACAGTGAAAAGATAGAACAAGAAAGAGGAAGTATGAGGCCTTTGGACATATAAATAAACCTTTTAGCTTCACTTGTTACTTTGAAATTTTAACTATATTGAAATGCTTTAAAAAAAATATCTTTGTCTCTGGAGTTGCATATGAGATGTTCCTTTCTAAAAAACATAAATTATGGTTGAAAACTTATAAATACTAATTTTCTCTTATGAAACTTTAAAACCATGATCGTTGAGATTTTTGTTTGTTAAGAGTGGGCTTAATTCATAAACATTTTATGAAACAATAAATAACAGTGTCTCTAGCGTAGTGGTTACGAATCAGGCTGTGAGCCACAAGGTCAGCAGTTCGAAACTACCAGCTGTTCCGCGGGAGAAAGATGAGGCTTTCTGCTCCCGTAAAGATTTATAGCCTCGGAAACCCTGTGCAGGGTCGCTATGGGTCGGCATTGACTCCACAGCACATACAGCAACAATAGTCAACTCAGTTTTTCTAGCATGTACGTGAATTTTTAACTAATCTCTTGAACATTTACTTTTAGTCATTTTGAAGATAGCATCGTTAGTGTTTGGATGTGTCTCGTTTTAAAACCAAAATAAAGCTACACTACGAAGGACTCAATTTGAAGTGTTTCTTCTCTTTTAACCCTTCTCTAGCGTTTATCATGCACTAGGGTTGGTTGATTTATGGATTGTTGTTGTTGTTGTTTTTTTAAGTTTAATGAATATAGGACTAGTAACCTAGAGTAATGTGGAAGTAAATAGATGTGTCATCTTTATGGCTATCAGTAATCTTAAAATTCAGTTGTAATTAGTAACAGTCATTGACAGTACTGGTATGTATATTAGCTTTATGCTTAATGCTAAAACCCTCTTAGTGAGCCAGCCACAAAAAGTTATTGTGTACATGTATATGTACCATTATAAACATTGATGGGTCACTGAATGGTTTTTATTTGTTTATTGTTATTGTTAGGATGGCGCCCTGCGTTCAAATACTACAACATGTGGATATCACTTATTGGAGCAATTCTTTGTTGCATAGTGATGTTTGTCATTAACTGGTGGGCAGCACTGCTCACATATGTTATAGTCCTTGGGCTGTATATTTATGTCACCTACAAAAAACCAGGTGAGTAGGTGTTCCTGTTTAGTATTTCAAGCTAGAAAACTTTTAGTACTTCTTTGTTATAATACTTTAAAGCTTTATCTTTGATGTATTTGAAAGACACATTTACACTTGGTTTAAAACCTAAAATAATTTATTTCCAAATGCATGTAGCTTTAATGGAAAGATTATTTTGAGATGTTTTATTCCCATATAGTTTCATATTCTACCTATAGGTTAAGTGTAACTAATTTTATTTATAGAAAAATAATAAATTCATATAATTAATATTCATATGCACTCATGTGGTTTGAAATGGTTCAGACTAGTAGTACTATATGGTATATTAACAAGCATATGTTTCCTACTGTGATTGTGGAACTGTAACAAGAATTATAGAATTCACAAAATACTAAAAGACATAGCATCTGCCCTCTGGCTTACTATGTAACTAAGAATATGGGAGAAGTCAATCATGTTTTAGCAATAAAATAAACATTACTTAATATATATTATATTGATAAATGCTAGGTCTTTCCAGTGTACAAGATAATGCTAGAATTGACCGAGTAGTCAAGATTGCAGCTGTTGTATAGCCTTATACAGAAGAGCCAACGCAAAAGGCTTGAGAAGAAAATAAATGATTGTAAGAATGTCTGCAAGGCAAAATTGTAGTTTCAAACAATGGATTTTGTAATCCAGATACAAGAAATAAGATGTTTTGTATTATAGTAGTGGCTCTATACATGACGTGCACAATGAATCTATGGTTATTTTAGAAGCAATTATTTTTCTGTTTATTAAGTTTGCAAAGTAGCAAATGTCTAAAATTGTTTGGTGTCCAAATTGTTTGTTTAATAAGAATTAAAATCTGCCTGTTCAAATAACCTAAACAATTAGGTACTATAAATAGAATAAACAATTAGATTTGCTCATTGTACTATGCCTCTTCCTCTGTAGACCTTCCGATATATTTATAAACAATTAGGAGCAGTGTTTTCTTTTTTTTGGTGGCCTGTTATTGAACTGCATGCACATTGTGTTTGCAGCTTTATCTTACTCTTTTATAACTTACTCTTTTTCTTTAAATGCAATTATAGTAAAATTAGCATTATACCTAATATAATGTTATGAACTTCAGATAGGAGGATGAGTCAAAAAATTATCTGCACTCTGGTTATATTAAAATGCCTGTCCTCAGTTGATGACAACATTGAGTGTGCACGTGAAATGATTCTGTTGAATAGACAAGTGACAGTGTGTGACAAATCATGTGCAAATCAGCCATGGCTCTGCCTATGAAATAACCCACGACAGACTTGAATTTTGAAAAGTTTGTGCAAGATGGGTATCAGAACAACTCACAGAAGAACATAAACAGAAGTGTTTGGACATCTGCAAATAAAATTTGACTGATACTCAAAGAAAGGTAAAAGTTTCTTAAAAGAAATAATCATTACTGGTTACAAGATATGGATTTCCGAGCCTGAGAGTAAATGTCAGAGCATGGAATGAAAACATTTTCAATTGCCAACAAATAAAAAGTTCAAAAGTCAACTAGCAGCTGGAAAATTGATGCTTATGATAGTTTTCTAGGATTCTCAAGGGCTAGTATTAGAGGGGCATTATCAGAAAAAGGCTCAACTGTCAACATTGCTCTTCATAGTGATATGCTCACTGAAAAGCTAAAGCCTGAATTTAGGTTTGAACTTAGAGGACTACTAACCAAGGGTGTTGTGATCCTGCATGACAATGCACATCCACACACCTCTGCCCACAGTGTTGACACTCTGCAGACACTTCGTTTTGTGGTGTTAAAGCGTATTCCCTATAGTCCTGATCTTGCTCCATGAGACTTTCACCTGTTTAGTCCCCAGAAAGCAGTCCTCGAGGACCAAGATTCGCCTGCGATGAAGAAGTGAAGATAGCAGTGTATTCCTGGCTCGCTGCTCAGCCTAAAACATTTTTCAGAAGGGAATGCAAAAGCTTGTTGACAGACAAACTATTGAAAAGCAAGGAGACTATGTCAGAAAATGAAGTATTTGTCTTTTCTAAAAATTAAAATAAATTCTACAGGCAGAGTGTGCAAAATTTATGACTCACCCTCATATTAAAAGTTCTGAGTGCAAGAGTTTAATTTTAAAAAAGACTTTCAAAACATGAAAGCACTGTTTAACTCTGTATCAAGTTGCATTTTAATTGGTTGTTGATGTTGTTATACTGCATGAACCTATTTGTTTTCTCACAGATGTGAACTGGGGATCTTCTACACAAGCTCTCACTTATCTGAGTGCATTGCAGCATTCAATTCGTCTTTCTGGAGTAGAAGACCATGTGAAAAACTTTAGGTAAGCAGTAGGGTAATGGAAGAAGCCCTGGTGGTACTGTGGGTTAGGAGTTGGGCTGCTAAGTTCAAGGTCTGTGGGTCACGACCCACCAGCCAACCACTCCTCAGGAGAAACATGAGGCTGTTTGCTCTGGTAAAAATTTACAGTCTCGGAAACTATATAGGGGTACTATGAGGGAACTGAAGAAAAAATTCAAGCCTTGATTTACAATGTTGATGTATTCTATGGGCAAAATATTGAATGATGTAAAAAGTATCAAAATAAGATGAAAGGAATACATTGTACAAAAAAATGAATGTTTGGTGTTCAACCAGTTCAAGAGCCAATTGTGTCAGAAGCCTGCTCCGACACTCTTATTTGGGGGTCCTAGAGGGAGGTATGATGTCAGCGAAGAATGAAGCTCACAGAATCGATGGGTCTTGTTAGATGGTGAATCTTCTCCGTTTATTTCAAATTCTCAAACAGCTTTTATACTACTCTATACCATCAATTTATTAATCATTCTTTTCAAAGTAGTGGTTTAAATCATACATATTAATCATTTCAATATAGAGCATCAAGAATATAAACATTTTCCTTGTTCCCCTTTACATAGTTAGACAATACATGATTTCTGTAAGCAAACCTGCTTACAGAATTGCTCTAAAAATGTCACGTTAACCTTAAAACATAATTCTAAATGTTAACTCCTATTTCTACCTTCACCTATTATTTTCTATAGATTCATTAATCACAACATGTACCTAGACATTATTTGCTATGGTAACTGACAACACAATTGTTTCTCATGATTGATTAAACAAGAAAAACAAGAAGCATAAAAAAGTTTAGTAGCCAAGAAGAAACAGAACAACTTCCTTATACCAAAAACTTCCCTATACAAAACATCTAGTTAAATTTCTGCTTATCTAATACTATTCCCTTAGCCCTCAATTGCATTTTTGCTAATTTTCTAAAGGTCTCAATGCCTCTGACCAAAACTACACAGAATGTTGAATGTAATCTTAAACCTGAACTGGCAAAAACTTTAGCTGATTTTTCCTAGTGGTGAAACTTATTGTTAGTGTGAGAAGCATTCTTTAGGACTACACATGATTGAATATGTTGTGAATGTGCAAGTTTCAAATCTCTAATATAGTTCTTACTAAGATTCTACTGAAAACTTTTATTATAAAATCAAGAAAATTAAAAATAATCTGATTAAAACAAAGAGACAGAGACAGCAGAGTCCCCACATGAGATCCCTCCTGGGGCCTTGTGTTACAAAGGGGGGACCCATTGTGGCCCTGCTTGTTTAGGGTCCTCTGCCGCTCTGCCCCTTGGTGTCATGGCCTCTGCCACAATTGCATATGATCATTGCATATGATCAAGAGCCAATAATGTTGAAGAAAGAAGTCTAAGGTGCATTGAAGGCATTGACAAAGAACAAGGCTCAGGAAATTGACAGAATACAAATTGAAATATTTCAACAAACTGAGGCCGCCCTGGAGATACTTATTCATCTGTGCCAAGAAACTTGGAAAACAACTACTTGGCCAACTGACTGGAAGAGATCCACATTTATGCCTATTCCCAAGAGAGGTGACCCAACGAAATGTAAAAGTCATTCGACAATATCATTAATATCGCATGCAAGAAAAATTTTGCTAAAGGTAATTAAAAACAGCTGCAACAGTACACTAACAGAGAGTTTGCAGAGGTTGAAGCCAGATTCAGAAGAGAATGTAGAATAAGAGATATCATTGTTAACATTTACCTAAATCTTGGCTGAAAGCACAGAGTACCAGAAAGATGTTTGCCTGTACTTTATTGACTACTCAAAGACTTTTAATTGTGTGGATCATGACAGGCTGTGGTCAACATTGTTGTGAATGAGTATGTCGGAACACTTAATTGTGCTCATGAGGAACCTGTACATAGACCAAGAAGCAATTGTTAGAACAGAAAAAGGATACACCAAATGGTTTAAAATTAGGAAAGGGTTGTATTCTTTCACCGTACTTATTCAGTTTGTATGTTGAGCAATTAGTCCGAGAAGCTGGACTATATAAAGAAAAGTGTGGCATCAGGATTTGAGTAAGACTCATTAACAGCCTGCAATATGATGTAAACTTGCTTGCTGAAAGCGAAGAGGACCTAAAATACTTACTGATAAAGATCATTGACCACCGCCTTCAGTATGGGTTATACTTCAATGTAAAGAAAACAGAAATCTTCACAACTGGACCAATAAGTAACATCCATATAAATGGAGAAAAGATTGAAGTTGTCAAATACTTAAATTTACTTGGGTCAGCCATCAGCTCTCCTGGAAGCAGCAGTCAAGAAATGAAACAACATACTGCATCAGGCAAATCTGCTGCATAAGACCTGTTTAAAGCGTTGAAGAGGAAAGATGTCAGTTTGAGGACTAAGGTGCACCTGACCCATGCCATGGTATTTTCAATAACCTCGTATGCTTGTGAAAGTTGGACAGTGAATAAGGAAGACCGTAGAAGAATTGATGCATTTGAGTTATGGCATTGGAGGAGAATATTAAAAGAACTATTAACTCTTTTTTGAAAGATTTACAATCAGGATGCTCCTTGGAAGCCAGGATAGCCAGATGTCTCTCAAACTTCAGACATATTATCAGGAGGGACCAGTCCCTGGAGAAGGACATGCTTGCTAAAGTGGAGGGTCAGTGATAAAGAGGAAGACCTGCAACAGCAGTGGGCTCAAACGTAACAACGATTGCGAGGTTGGCGCAGGACAGGGAAGTGTTTCATTCTGTTGTGCACAAGGTCACTGAGTCAGTACTGACTGGATGGCACCTAACAACAACAACAAATGAACTGGAATTGACTTAATGGCAGTGGATTTTGTTTGGTTTTGGTTTTAAGGTGACCTGGAGACATTGTTTCCTAGTTGGCAACTTCAGTTACTATTCCACAATATTTTCATTTGTTGATAGTTCATAAAATATGCTCTAGAAGCATAGAGTATTTTATATTTCATTTGGATTTCGTTGATGTAATTATTGAAAATTAAGATTGAGATTCTTTTTCAAAATGTTCCAAAGAAAAAATACTATATTAGGAAAATATTGGGAAGGTTTTGTTAAGGGTCACATTTGAAGAGTTGAAATGATGGGTTACAGTAAGTGAACAATTTTCCCCTCTTTGACTATTGAAGTACATGACAAATATGTAACTTTGTTAGTGTTGTGTGCTTTCAGTAGGCTCAACTCGTAGTAACTATACAGGGCTTCTGAGAGTAGCTGGTGGCTTTAAACTTCTGTCTTGGGGTTAGCAGCTGAGTGCTTATCCTACAGTGACACACCAGAGCTCAATATATAGCTATTCCCTGTGAAATTCATACATGTTTTTTGCATACCTTGTTTTGTAATTTTGCTAAGACATTAAATATTTGCATATTATTTGCTCTACTCTCATCAGAGACTAACTTGGAAATTAATTATAGTGAAGAATCAGTACTTAAATTTATTTATTAATAATTTTATCTTTGTTAAGAAAAAGTACATCGCAAAGCATTTCAGTTCAACAGTTTCTACATGGACAGTTCAGTGACATTGATTATAGTCATCATTTGTACAACTCTTCTCAGTCTCTCTGAATCATTCCTCCCACATGGACACAAACTCACTGTGCCCTAAGTTTCCTGTCTCATCTTTTGAGCTGCTGTTGTCAATTTGATCCCATAGAGATGGTTCTTAAAAGTGCTTAATTTTTAGGCAGACATTTTTTTTTTAATGTTTTATTGTGAGTTATGTGATAGTTTATATGGGAGAACATTAGTTTTACATTCATTCTGTTGTATATCGTTTCATTGCCATGGTTACAATTCCCTCCGTGCATCATCAACCAACCAAAGGGTATACCTTGCAAGCCTGCCCCCACACACCTCTCCCCCTGGTCTTCAGCACACAGTCCCTCTCCCTCTCTGGATCTAAAGTGCCCAGCTGCTCCATCGCTCCACTTCATCATCTCTGCCTCCATCTCAGGCATCACTGCTTCTCTGGGTAGGGTCCCGCACTGTACTCTTCTCCATTAATGGTCCCAGGGACCTCTGCTCCTAAACTGCAAAGTTAATCACTCCCCTCCTTGCTATAAAATGTCTGTCTACCTTTACATTTCCAACCCTCACGATCAGTCCTGATGACAGTTATTCACTATTGTATCCCAAGAGACCCATCTGCATTTCATTTCATCAGCCCAGCCTAGACAGATTGAATACTACTCACTGGAGATTCTACCTTCCTCCATGCCCTCTGGATCTAGGTTCCCACTTGAAAGCTTGTAAGTCAGTCACCTCTTGCCTGTGTAACCCCACCCCCCATTTTGGGTAGCCAATGTCCAAGTTGCCCATCCCTGTCTACTCTGTATGTGGAGGGGGTGGGAATGATTCTTGCTGTAAGGATTTGTTCCCTCTTTTGAGCTACTGCTTCCATAGGTGTAGGTCAAGTTCATCAAATTGCATCAGATTACTCTTTTCCTCTTCTTTCTTCTTCTGGTTGAGCTCTGATCATCCAGTCATTGAAGCCAGGTCAAGTGGGTATTATCTGCAAGTGTGGGTGTTCTTATGCATATGCCCTCTCTTTTTATCAGCTGAACGCTTCACTCTCCACTCTAGTCCTCTGTAGCTATGTCACTGACTGTGGGCCGAAGAGTCCCCAGGTTTTGCCACACCGCTGGCCAACCAGGTCTTGACCTCGGTTCACAGAAGTCTAATGAACATTGTAGGGCTTAGCTCGCCGCTTCATTGCTGTTTTTCCCTCACTTTCCCTTATCGGTGACAAGCGTGGTCACCAATCAGAGCGTGTATTCCCATTGAGTCTTAGTCTTGGAAGGGGGTTTTAGGCAGGCATTTTTTACTCCTTAAGCTAAACTGTTTGTTTTTAAGAAGACTTGAGAGGATATTATTGTTTATGGTTTACAGACCATTTCATGACAGTAATTTCTGGCGTTTATTCAGCATCCATGGTTCCAGGAAGTCTGGAGTCTGTGAGAATTTGAAATTTATTTCTGCATTTTCCCCCTTCTGATCAGTATTCTTCTGTATAAAGTTTAATCAAATTGTTCAGCAATGGTAGTCATGCACCATCTAGTTCTTCTGGTCTTGTGACAAAGGAGGTGGTTGTTTATGGAGGCAGTTAGCCACACATTTCATATCTTTCCCCTGTCCCTGACTTTCCTTATTCCTCTGTTGTTCTAGGCAATAGAGGCCACATCTTGTGCTTGGGAGGCTGCCTTATATTAGTTTTGAATTAAGGGTAAAGAGCATTCATTTTTGCTTGCTTAAATGACTTTTAGTATATTTCATCTCTATAATGGTTTACATTTAAAACCTATTCCTGAGCCTGATACACTTCATATAAATTTTTGAAATTTAATTACTAAAGTACGATTGATTATACTTCTCTAAACCCAGAAATATCATTTTCTTGTATAGATCATTAAACTTTACGGATTATTATTTATCTTTGGAGTCCTGGTGTGACGCTGTGGGTTAAGGTGCCAGACTGGAAAGCCGTTTGAACTGCAAGGTTGTTGGTTCAAGCTCACCAGCTGCTCCTTGGAAACCCTATACAGGGTCGCTATGGGTCAGAATCTACTCAATGGCACTTCACAGCAGCAGCAGTGTGGCACTGTAGGATAAGCACTGGACCGAAAAGTTGGTTTGAACCTCAAGGTCAGCAGTTCTAACACACCAGCCACTCCTTAAAAACCCTTTGCAGGGTCACTGTAAGTTGGAACCTACTCAGCGGCACTTCACAACAACATTTATACTTAGTTAAAAGTAGCCTTGTAATTTTTGAAAATCAGATCTTGAGACTGTCATTCTTAAAGTTATTCAAATTAAGTCTGGATGTGAATAGGTGAAGGATCCTTGTTGTCACAGTGGTTAAAGCATTTGGCTCTGAACCAAAAGGCCGATTATTCAAACCTACCAACGTCTCTGCTGGAGAAGGATGTGGTAGTATGCTTCTGTTAAGATTTTCCTCTTTGGAAATACTATAAGACAGTTCTAGTTATCCAATAGGGTCACTATGTTTGTAATCAACTCTATAGCAATGGTTTAGACTGTTTTTTGAACAGGTGACTTTATTTAATCATGAGTCATTAACCTCTCATTGACTCATCTGCATTGTAAGCAGATACTTTTAACCCATGTGTGTCAGTAAATCAAAGGGTAAATAATGTTCTTTAAAAGATCATTGAGTAGTGACTACTTCTAGAAAAGAATTCCTTGACTAAAATTATGCCAGTAAGAAAGTCTGTGTGTTCTTTGTGGTATTCTCATGGAACTCTCCTCCATCTTTTCAGTCTAGGAGTAAAAGCTCCTGGAGGCCACAGATCTTCAGTGTAGGGTAGAGAGAAATAAGGGTGGGGGAAGAAATGAGAGAGAGAGAGCCCTGGAAGGAAAACATTTATTTCAGCGCTTTTTTGATAGTTGGTGCCAAGTATGACAGAAAATAGAAATCATTCCTATATGTAAAAAATTATATTCAGGACTTACCATGAATAAAATTCAAATAAATGTGACTTTGTCTTGTTATAGTAATGGGAACATTTTTAACAATATTTTATCCCAGTATAGCTTTCTAATTCTTCACTGAGTTTTAGTTGTACATACTGAAATAGGAAAAAAACTACCAAGTTTGTTATGAAAATACTGGTTGTTCCACCCCTCTATCCCCTATTTCTTCAACTTCATAGGCGACCACACTCTTTTCCTCTTTATTTTTTTTTAACTTTTTATTGTGAATTGGGTGAAGGTTTGCAGAACAGATCATCAGCTTTAGATTCAACAGTTCATACACATTTTATTTCATCTTATGGCTGCAATCCTCACAATGTAACATCACATCCCACTTCCTCCCTGTGTTACCTGTTTCCAGTCCTCCTCCTTTCCTAAGCCTTCTGAACTTTGTCTTAGGGTAAATATTGCACTTTTGACGTCAAATGGTTGATTATTCTAAGGTGTGTGTATTTATCTAGAGTTTTTTAACCCTTCTACACCTATTGTTCAGTGGTTCAAGCTTACCAGCTGCTCCTTGGCAACTCTATGGGGTCACTATGGGTCGAATTGACTCGACGGCATTTAACACCAACACTAGACCTACTGTTTGGCTAAAACTTGAGCCATGAGAGTGATTTATTTAGCCCTGAAGGGTAACTTAAATAAGGGCCATATTCTTAGGGGTTCCACCAGTCTCTATCCAACCAGTAAGTTTAGTCTTTTTTTATGGTTTTGAGTTTTGTTCCATTTTGTCTTCACTGTATCCAGGACTTTTTAATGTGGTATTGCAGAATTCTAGCATTCAAGCTGCAGCATCGTTTCTGTCACCAAGGTCATGTTTTCCAACTACTCATCTTTCATGTGTTTTCAGCTGTCGCATTCCAATCACCAGTAATTATCATTGCATCGTGATTACATGTTTGATCAATTTCTGACTGAAGAAGTTGGTGGAATTCTTCAATTTCATCATCACTGGCTATAGCATTTTATGTATAACTTTGAATACTAGTGGTATTAACTGGTCTTCCTTGTAAGCATACAGATATTATTCTATCACAAACAGTATTGTACTTCAAGATAGATCTTGAAATGCTCTTTTTGACAATGAATGAGACACCATTCCTCTTCAATTTGTCGTTCCCAGCTTAGTAAATCATACAGTTGTCCCATTCAAAATGGCCAATACCAGTCCATTTCAGCATTCCATTTAATGACAACTTCCCATTTTCCTAGATTCATTCTTCATGCATTCCACATTCCAGTTATTAATAGGTGTCTCTAGCCATCTCTTCTCATTTTGAGTTGTGCCCCATCAGCAAATGAATGTCCCAAAGCTTTGCTCCATTCATGTAATTAAGGTCAATTCTACTTTGAGAAGACAGCTCTTTCCCAGTCCTATTTTGAGTGCCTTCCACACTTCTGGCACAGTTTCTCACTATGTTCTGCTATTGATAATGTTTCCATTTACTAACCCTTCAGAAGTTGTCTGCCTGTCCTTCTTCATAGTCTGTCTGTCTTAGTCTGGAAGGTCTACTCACCATGGGTGACTGCTCTGATATTTTAAATATTGGTGACATAGCTTCCAGCATCACAGCAACACATAATAAGCCACCACAGTGCTACAAATTGACACACTAGTGGTGAGATTTTGCATTTAGTTTTCTAAAATCCTAAGCATTTCACTATTCTTTTTTAGTCTTAATTCAGTTTTCTTCTGCTTACTTTATGAGTATAATTAGAAATGACCCTAACAGTTAATACAATATTGAAGTCAGAACTTTTAGTCTCCTGCTGTTTGCTTTCAATTAAAGTCTATTCTGATTATTCAGATTCTCGATTTGATTTCTTGCCAACCTTGTAGGACTTAATAGACTTTAGCTTTCTGAAAACAAACTGATTTCTACTTCTTGTCAACAAAAATTAGCAGTTAAAATATGAAAAGTCATGCTGCTGTTTTGTGTTTGCAAAAGCAATTGTGTTCAATTTTGGCTTCCTCTATTGTTAATTAGAGTGTAATCTTCTAGATAAAATAGAAACCTTTTCTCCACTTGTTGTTGTTGTTAAGTGCCATCGAGTCGGTTCCGACCCATAGCGACCCTGTACAGGGTTTCCGAGGGTGTAAATCTTTACGGGAGTAGAAAGCCTCATCTTTCTCCCGCGGAGCGGCTGGTAGTTTCGAACCGCTGACCTTAAGGTTTGCAGCCCGATTCGTAACCACTACGCTACCAGAGTTTTTCTCATATGACAGCAATCATTAAAATTAAGTTAGCGATGGCTTATATCACAAAGTGTAAAAGTAATTTTGGTATGGTCAAGCTAAGAAGTGAGGTGACCTGCTTTGAACATGAAAGGCAAAACTGTGTGTTTTAGAATAAAATTGTTCTGTATTTTTCAAATAGTATGCTAATTTCCTTTTATAATATCTACCAGAACCTTTATTTATAAAAGTACCTATTATTTCAAAGGAACATTTAATAAAATGTTTATTCCAACAAGGTTGGAATTTCTCATGCACTAAGAAGGTCTGAGTGGCAGTCATCTTCTCCAGTAAGAATCCTATGGGCTGTGTCTTGAGGACAATTTTATAAAGAAGGTTCTAGTGTTATTCTTGATTCTTAGACAAATAACTTGAAATTGTGTTCTTGTTACCAAAACCCCAAGCTTCTATAATTTTGTTTTTCCTTTTTAATCTTAAATTAGGCCACAGTGTCTTGTTATGACAGGTGCTCCAAACTCACGCCCAGCTTTACTTCATCTTGTTCATGATTTCACAAAAAATGTTGGTTTGATGATCTGTGGTCATATACATATGGTAAGTGTTCATTTGTTTTTATCCTATAAGGCATTTTTCACTCTGTGCATATGTATTGTAATAAAGGGAGCTTTCTAGTTCTGAAACAGTTAAACAAGATAAAAAATCTTTTGTATTTTCCCCTGAAGGCAGTTACTTTCCTCAGAATACTTGCACTTTTAAATTGTGTACACATTTTTTTTATAATTTTAATTTTCAGATTGTTAAGCTTCCTTTTTTTCCCCCTTTATGAATAAATTTTAGCAAAGATGTATAGTCCCTGTATAGTGCTGTAGGATAAGCACTGACCGTTAGCTTCAAGGTCAGTGATTCAAACCCACCAGCCACTCTCAGAAGCCCTGTATCAGGTTGATATGAGGCAGAGCCTAACTGATGGCACTTTTAACAACAACAACAACAAAAACAACAACGAAGAATGACTTGGCTATGTGAAAAGACTTCTTGATAACTAAGGGTCCTAGGTGAAATTCTGTGTTTATTTTCTTATTGATATTTCTCATAAACTGGAAACATTTACTAGAAAAGTAAAGTAATATGATGTGGTGGGTAAAACCTGCTCAGTATCTAGGAAGGGAAATGTTTATGTCCAATATGTAGTAAAGTAGATGAATCCTAAATTTCCAAGTTTGTTTTTTAATCTAAACTAAGAAAATTAATTTAAATTGTGGTAAGCCTTTGTCTTTTAGTAAGAAATGGTACTTCTCTTTGTTGGCATCTTTGCTGTGTGGATGATAGATTACCTATTCTGCTTAAGAAATGTTGTCATTTATTTGTCAAATTAGCTTTTTCCCCAAGATCTATTGTTCATCGTTTTTGGTGCTACAAATATGTGCTGTATGCGCTGTGCCTCAGCCTCTGCAAGTGTCGGTCTTCCACGTGCATAGTGACAGACAAGGCTCTGTGTGTGTGTGTTGGATGAAAATTGGTGGAAGGCAGAGTAGGACACTGATCCCGCTTGGGACTTGTGGAGTTTGCAGTTTGTCTCCCAGCTAATAATAAGTTAGGGCCTTGAACATAAGAAATTATAAATGTGAAGCAATTCTTCTCTTACAAAAGATTAATTTTACTTTCCTCTCTTCTTATACAGCACATATTTGTATGTTCTTAAACTTAATGTTAGCATTTTAGTTTTATACATTTGTAAGTAATACATTTTATATGTTCTTAGAGTGATCGAAATAGGATTTAAGTTACGCAACTTCTATTAACTTTTCTTAAGCAAAATTATAATGAAACAATGCTGTTATAGAGCTCATTTTGAATTTTTGTGATGTTTTTAAGTTACTGAGAATTGATAATTCAGACATTTAGGGCCAAGAAGAAACAAGCTGGGTAATTTTCAAGTCTTCTCTTTCTTGCTTTTCTTTTTCCTTTTTGATAGCATTCCCTATTACCTTAAATGCACCAACGATTATCTTTACTCAGTCTTAAGGTTTAGGAAGAATTCACTGAGACAGAAATGAAATGGGATGAATTTTTTTTTTTTTTATCAGTGTGAAATAAGATCACTTTTCAATTAAAATTACCATTAATTTTTTTTATATGTATATATAAAGGGTCCTCGAAGACAAGCCATGAAAGAGATGTCTGTTGATCAAATCAAATACCAACGATGGCTTATTAAGAACAAGATGAAGGCATTTTATGCTGCAGTACACGCAGATGAGTTGAGGGAAGGTGCACAGTATTTGATGCAGGTAAATATGTTATGTATTTTAAATGCCTTTATTTTAACTTTGTAAGAAACATTTAACAGTCTTGTCATCTTAGGTTTTATTCATTTTAATACAATGAGAAATATTGCTTACTATCTTGTGCAAAATAGACCATTCAGGTTTATATACTATGATAGCTACATAATGTTCTGATAGTTAAAACATGTGGACTGTCTTAATCTGTTACTGTCCTTTTTGAAGAGAGTTCCCATTCACTCACTGCTCACCTATGATTTTCTTCTAAGACTATGAAGTTATGGGAGTTCTCTTAATTTTTAAAAAGTTTTTTTTTTTTTTTTTAATCTTCTATTTCTCACATTTAAACTTCATTTCAGTTTTGTGTTTGTGATAGTAGCCAGAATATGGGATTTGGAATCACCTACATTTAAATGCTAGCAGTACCACTTGTTTACTATGAAGTTTTTGCGTGAGTAAATCAGTTTAACCTCTCTGAACCTCAATTTCCTCACCTATGGGTTATGTTGTTGTTGTTAAGTGCTGTCTAGTCAGTTCCAACTCATTAGCGACAACAGAAACACTGCTTGGTTCGACACCATTTACACAATTGTTATATTCGAGGCCATTGCTACTGCCATGGTGTCAGTCCTTCTTGTTGGGGTTCATTCTTGAAAATATTCTACCTCTTGAAATGGTTGTATACTGACCACTTTTTTTTTCCCATACAGTGACTCTGTATACCTTCCATCTTCTTTTGATGCTTTCTGCATCATTCAATATTGTGTCCATGTTGTTGTTGTTATTGTTGCTATGTGTCCTTGAGTCAGTTTGGACTCATAATGACCCTGTATAGCATTTCCAAGGAGTGACTGGTGAGTTTGAACCGCCGACTCTGTAGTGTAAACCAACCTTTTGGTCCAGTGCTTCTCCTGCAATGCCACATTTCAATATTGAAAGTCACAGGGTTTTTTTTTTTTTTTTTTTGGTTTGAGAAATGCTGAGTGTGTTCTTCCTTTTTGGTTCTTTAAGTCCAGGTCTTTGCACATTTCATTATACTACTTTGTCTTCTCAAGGTGCAATTTGAAATAATTCTGTTCAGCTCTCTTCTTCATGTCTTCCATTTGCTTTATCGTCTCTATGCTGGAGAGCAAGTTTCAGAGTCTCTTCTGACATCCATTTTTGTCTTTTCTTTCTTTTCCGTGTTTTAATTAACTTTCTTCATATATGATCTTGATGTCATCCCACAACTCTTTTGGTCTTCAATCATGAGTGTCTGATGCATCAAATCTGTTCTTCAGGTGGTCTCTAAATTCAAGTGGGATATGCTCAAGGTCGTAATTTGGCTTTCATAGACCATTAAAAGCTACATTTCAGAAAAGCTGTGTTTTCAGTGATAAATTATTTCTTTTAATACATACAATGTTTTGTGGAAACTATGGAAATATTACCACTAATTAAATAATTTCTTTAATTAGAAATTCAAATAACATTTTTGCTGATAGCCTGCACAGCAAATTAAGTTCCAATGTAGTTATTTCAGTATATAGTGCTTATTTACATTGATTACATTTTTCACATTATGTCAACATTCTCCTTATTTCCATTCTGGTGGTTCCATTTCCATTCATCCTTGCACCTCCTCACCCCCCTGCCTTCTCATCTTTGCTTTATGGTAACTGTTGACCATTTGTTCTCATGTAGATGTTTTGTAGAATACAGAAACCCCATACTGATGGGTAATGTTGTTTCTTTTTTGAGTCAGTATGTTTTTCAACTGAAAGGTGATCTCCAGGGGTAGTTTCAGTTCAAAGTTTAAAGGGTGTTTCAGGGTGACAGTCTTGGGGATCCCCATAGGCTCTACCGATCTAGTAAGTTTAGCCTTTTAAAGAGTTTTAGTTTTGTTCTACATTTTTCACCCACACTGTCTTGGACCATTTATTATGTCCCCAGTCAGAACACTCCAGAGTGGTGACTAGGCACCATTTAGTTTTTCTCATCTTAGGGTACTGTTGTTAGGTGCTGTTGAGTCGGTTCTAACTCATAGCAACAGAATGCACAACAGAACAAAATGCTACCTGGTCCTGAGCCAACCTCACAAACATTGTTTGAGCCCATTACTGCTGCCACTGTGTTAGTCCATTTTATTGGTGTGTCTTCCCTTTCTTCACTGACCCTCCACTTTACCAAGCATGATGTCCTTCACCAGGGACTGGGTCCCTCCTGATAACACATCCAAAGTATGAGAGACAAAGTCTCACCATCCTGGCTTCTGAGGAGCACTCTGGCTGTATTTCTTCCAACACAGATCTGATTGTTCTTTTGGCAGCCCATGGTACTTTCAGTATTCTCCAACACCATAACTGAAATGCATCTATTCTTCTATGGTCTTCCTTATTCACTGTCCAACTTTTCATATGCAAATGAGAGTACCATGGCTTGGGTTAGGTCACACCATAGTCCTCAAACTGACATCTTTGCTCTTGAACACTTTAAAGAGGTCTTGTGCAGCAGATTTGCTTAATGCAATTTTTCTTTTGTTCCAGACAAGTGGAGACCAATACTAGTATCTTAGATGGCCGCTTACAAGCTTTTAAGACTATAGATGCTAGTCATAAAACTAGAATGCTAAACAAACATTATAGACTATGATGTGCCAATTTCTGAGTTGCTTTGTCCCAAGAGACTATTGTCCTAATCCTTCAAACCCAGTCAGGAAATCCCACAGGGTGCTTGGTCACATCTGGAAAGTATCTGTGACTATGCGCCTTTGATTATTTTGGACCCATTAAGAAGTTACTGGTGATCTTGTAGCCTAGTTATTCAAAAAATTATAAAACATTAAAGATACTGCTTTTTAAAAAAAACCACACAAACATTTTCATGTTGTTTTATGCTATTTTAACACTCCTCTTACAGTTTGTCTAGAGGGTTCTTTTGGTTACTGTGTGTGTGTGTTAGTAGCTACAAAGAAAATAGTTTTAAAACACACAAATGAATATTATTTCTCTGTGCCTTCAAAATAAAGATGATGGTTTTGGTAGTTTTACCCTATGGATAGAACCTTTTATAAATGGATATAGCCTTTTAGAATGTTGTTGAATTATTTCTTTTGTTCCTAATTATCCCAAGTGCTTAGGACAGTGCCCACATGTGGTTGGTTATCACTTGAAAAAGGTTTAAATTAATTAATCTTATGTGAAAATTATTTAATTAAGCATAAACTTACATATGCACACAATTTTAGAAATAGAATCTTCTAACTTGTTTTTTAAACTTACAGAAAAAATATATTGGATTTTTAGAGACATATGTTAAACGTATTGGTGTGTAACTCCAGATGAACTTTATTTTTGGAACAATTGTTGATAGACATTTACCAAATTTCATCAGAAACTGCACTATTGGTAGAGAGGATTGAAAATTTAGTGTTGATGTGATTCAGAATTGCAGTCAAGAATGTAATGTCATCCATTTGGACTTTTGATGACAGTCCATTAAAATTTAGAAGCAAAGTATATAACTTAGAATGTGCCCGTTGTATCATTATGTGTTTTTTTTAAAAGTTAAAGTATGTCAATCATTCCATTATATTTCCCTCAGTAAAAATATGGCAATTTTAGTTGGTAATTAAAAAAAAAACAAGAATATAAATTTAAAACTTCAAGTATTTCACTTTTAACTTCCTTTGTATATGTTTAATTATAAGTAGTATATTAATGTCATAGTATATGTAATTTAGATGTATTGTATACTTAAAAGTTTTAGCTAATAAATGTTACATGAATTATAAGTAGTATGTGAATGCCATCATATATCTAATATACAAGTGTTTGATACTTAAATGTTTTAGCTAGAAAGGGTTCATACTTTTACAATACCTAGAGACTTTTTGAAGAATTTTGTCATTTAGAAAACATGTTTGTCATATAGTTCTGTAACATTATATGTGTCCTGTTCTAGGCTGCTGGTCTCGGTCGTATGAAACCAAATACACTTGTCCTAGGATTTAAGAAAGACTGGTTACAAGCAGATATGAGGGATGTGGATATGTATATAAATTTATTTCAGTAAGTACCTATTTAATAACCTGGTTGGTTATAAGTTTTATTTTGAAAGGTTGCCCTGGTTTTTGATGTCTGTTTCTCATATAGTTTCATAATGGAAACAACAATGAACAGGATCACAGTGATCATTTGAGTTCTAAACTGATGATCTAGTAGCAGTTTTTTTTAATCTTTCTGTCTCTTTTTATGGACTTCTGATGTGGCGCTGTAGGATCAGCATTGGACTTTGAACTGCAACGTTGGCCATTCAAACTCACCTTCATGGAACCCCTATACAGGGTTGCTATGAGTCGGAATCAACTCCACGCACGGCGCATAACAACAACAATGTCTTTTTACATACAGATAGATGCACATGCATACATTATTACATACAAGCATGTATACAGTAACTTCCCATTTAAGTTAGTAGATTTTTACCTATTCTTATAACTGCTCCTGAGCTGAGTTCCTAAATATTGTCATACTCCATCACCTTCTAATATATGCCATTAATTAATGATTTTGGCTGAGGAACGACATTTCTTTACCTGTATCAATCTCATAAAACCGTAAAGTTCTTAAGGTTGTAACTTTTGAGAAGCAGATCTCCAGGTCTGTCTTCTGAGGTGACCCTTGGAGGTTTCAACCACCAACCATTTGTGTCACCCAGGGATTTCTGTTTACCCTTGTTGTTGCTAAGTGCTGTCAAGTCAGTTCAGACGAGTAATAAATTTACTGTGTACACCATAACCAAAACACTGCATGGCCCTCTGCAGACATCCTCATAATCTTTCCTATGTTTGAGTAAATTGTTGCAGACACTGTGTCAAATGTTAACTCACTGAGATAAGGTAACATTTTTGCAAATGATTACTTTCGTATACTAGCCATCTTACCGTAATACTGGGATCACTGGAAGGAAGAGTCTTTTCTGAGTGGCTTTATAAAAACTAAAGTGAATGCATGCCCTGAAAATTAGGTATTACTCTGAGTATTGTACATCAGACAACAATTAAAAGATAATTGCTCTCAGAGTGACTGGTGAATCCTAACTGCCAACCCTGTGGTTAACAGTATTTGACATATATCCAAATCAGGCTACTAACCTCACAGTCAGCAGTTCAAAACTACCACCTGTTCCGCGGGAGAAAGATGAGGCTTTCTGCTCCCATAAAGATTTATAGCCTCAGAAACCCTATACAGGGTCACTGAGTCAGAACCGACTCCACAGCACATAGCAACAACAAAACAACAATGAATGCATATTACTTATATAATTGAATACATTTAAAGTATACATTAAGTCTATTAGCACGTTTGCCTTGTAGAACAATCTGAAGTTTTGAAATTTGAAATTCTTTAAGTAGATTTGAGGAAAATGTGGACTTACTTGACTTAGAGGTTTAGTGACTTTGCAGATTTTAATGAAGACTGATTTTAGCTGCCTTTGTGGTTTTCATGTATTATACATATGTAAAGGGTGTTTCCACCTAAGGAGATACAAAATATGTCTCCAAATGTATGTATGTATTGAGTTCTGGTAGTGTAGGGGTTACAAGTTGGGCTGCTAACCTCAAGGTCAGCAGTTTGAAACTAACAGCCATTCTGCGGGAGAAAGATGAGGCTTTCTGCTTCCATAAAGATTTACGGCCTTGAAACCCTGTGCAGGGTCCCTGTGAGTCTGCAGCACACTACCACCATATATACTTATATAAAACCTTTGGACTATGTTGTTAGACTAGTTTTTAACATTTAAAAAAAAAACAAAACCACTTTTTTTATTGTTTCAAATACCTTCTCATCAGAAATTATCTCTCCATGTTCTATGACCTTTTCTCATTCTTAGAAAAGTCTGTCTTCAGTATCTTCATATGTTTCTTTTGGCTTTAAGCACATAGACTAAATACGGGATAAGATCACTGAAAATTGTTTCCCCACAATTTTAGTTGAACTGTTTCTGATAGAATAAAAATACACATACTGCTTTAAACAGCTTGATGGCAGAGCATCAATATCATGAAGGTCTACTCTTAAAAGTAATTTTCATGGGTATTTCGGAAGAAGGGAAAGGAAATGGTGTAGCTTTTAAAAATTAATGTTCTGAAGATCCTGTCAAGTATTTAAGAAGCATATTAAAGTCAGACATTTAAAGCTGAAAGTAATTTTAGAGATTAGCTCCTATTGCCTTAACTTTATAGCGGGGACACAGAATTTTTGTGATTTTTTTTGTTTTGTTTTGATTTTCCTTTCTTTTCCTCTCTTCTTCTCTGATTATCATAGTGATGCCTTCGACATCCAATATGGAGTGGTGGTTATCCGCTTAAAGGAGGGTCTGGATATATCTCATCTTCAGGGACAAGGTAAATCATAATTTTAAGTATTTTTTTTTTAACTTAAAAATACAGATTATTTTGTTAGTTCTGCAAAAATGCCATGGAGAAGGTGCCTGACCCTCCTCTGAGGACACAAGGAAGAAGGCGAAATCAAACTCCACATCAGTCCAAGGCCAGTTCCTGTAAGGCAGAGGTCAGGCACGCCTCTATCCTCCAGCCTTCTTTATCCTTTTCTGACACCAACCACCCCTCCCATACAATTCAGAATACAGCAGTTCTCTGGTTAGGCGCTCCTCTTCTCAGCTGTGTTCTGTAAACAGGTCTCTTTTGGCCATGCAGCCCCTTGGCAGAAACCCTCATTTTTCTTCCTTGGGACAGCTGGTCATTTTGACTGCTGACCTTGAGATTAACAACTCAATTTGTAACCTACCAGAGCTCCTTTTTGCCTGGTTGGGGCAAGTTTTACAGAGCTTCTTTAGTGCTGTTGATAAATGCTCAAAGCGTGTATCCAATTCGGCAAGCCAGCCTCCTGCCTCGAGGCACTCAGCTGTACCCATCCTGTGGGCTGGAAGCCTGGTGCTCTGTCTCTAACTCTGGTGCTGTTGTCTCTTCCACTGCCACCTCTCTGCACAAGGATCCCCTGTTCCTGGTTCTGAAATGGCTAATTTAAAATCCAGCGGATGACCACACCTACCTGTCCCTGCATTAGAGTACCATTCACTCTACTTACATGGCCTACCCAATCATTTGGTGGAAGTTACAAAGATTATGGCTAGAAGACACATATTAAATAATTTCCTCTACCACAGTCCTGATGTGGTGCTGTGGGTTAACGCACTGGACTGCAAAGTTGGTTTGAACCAAAAGGTTGGCAGTTCAAGCTCACCTATACAGGGACGTTATGGGTCAGAACTGACTTGACGACACTTAAAAACAACAACATATACCACAGTTAGAAATTGAAATGTAATTCTCACGAATTCTTCAGTAATTTTAATGGTTTTCATCTATTCTGTCTAATGGACTTACAGTATGGCCTCTGAAAATTGTATTTGTTTGGCTCTACCAGAATTTGTGTTTTCTATCTTTACTTAACCTGGATGACGGTTAGTGAAGTAATGGTTATGAAAAGACTCAAATCCAACCTGAATTACAAGTTTAAGATTATTAGTTATGATGGTACAGTGACCAAATTTATATTTTTACTTTTTATTTTGTTTTCTTAAATGTTTTATTGTGAATTATGTGATAGTTTACATGGGAGAACATTAGTTTTACATTCATTCTATCGTATATCATTGTCTCGTTGCCATGGTTACAATCCCCTCCATGCAATCCTTGCCCCGTACCCCCCAGGTCTTCAGCACACGGTCGCTCTCCCTCTCTGGATCTAAAGTCTCCAGCTGCTCCATCGCTCCATCGCTCCATGTCATCATCTCTGGCTCCATTTCAGGCATCACTGCTTCTCTGGGTAGGGTCCCGCTCTCTGCTCTTCTCCCTTG